TCTATGGCAAAATAGGTCGCCCTAACAACGAGATGAGGCCTACACCATCTACAGGGCAAGCCGACGCTGCGGAAGCCACGCTAACGTGACCCCATGACTCCGTCAGACGCTGTAGTCGGGACACCGTGTGGTTTTTAGTGAGTAAGAATACCTCCCCAACACCCTATGGCGGTCGGAGACGAGAACAATTTTCAAGACTTTTCCAGACGATAAAAAAAAAGATGTACAGTCATTATCAACCATTAGAAAAAAACAAACATACATAACCTATTAAATACTTTAATATGACTACTTCACGATATTGAACTCGCTATTTGTACAACATTTAATTTAATAAATAACTATCCCACATTCGTCTTCTAAGCAACCGTACAGTGAGAACCGTCTCAATAATATTCGAAACATTAAACTGTAGACACAACACAGAATGAACAAAGGATATCTCGGTTATTAATTCAGAGTAATAGAAACAGACGGTGCCCGGGGCGGGCGCTAAGTCAGTTTGTATAATCTGTCCCGGGGTAGTTTATTAATTACGCCTTGACAAACTATGCGGTCGACTGAGAGGTTGGGAGCCGCAGACTTGCGTTTGATGGGAGCCTTCGCAAATTAGCTTATGGATATAGTGTTTCGTGTAACAAGGGGTATTACATTGTCAGATATATTTAATCCAAACTGAATAAATTTACCCCCCTTTAAGAAAATTGTGCGGTAATATAAAATTTCGTACAGTTATAGTTTAACAGTAAAGTTTTCAGTAGTTGCTAATATAGTTTTTTCATTTAGCATAAAAAATATATTAAATCAATAAAAAAAACTACCATTATATTACACGAGTGATAACAAAACTGAATGTGAAATAATATCAATCAGCTAATAGAGGCTTGTTACTGTGCTGTTATCAAAGTAATATATATATATTAAAACACAAAACACTAGACTACTAAAGCACAAATCAATAGGATCTTAATAATATCCAAACTTATAATTTAAATTGATTATGATCGCATTTCGACCTTTGGGTGACAATTCGTAGGACCTAATATATTGTGACATCAATATTTTTTTCATAAGATATTCTCTAAAATCCTGAACAGAAAAGTAAACTTGGGTACCTCTTTTTACATAGTTAAATTGTATAATTATCATTTAAACATCAACAAAACAATCGAAATCCAAAGAGTTAATTAGAGGAAGACTTTGTACAAAGTCGTCTACCTTGACATCTCTTTCTCACCTTGTTCTGTCTACTATAGTTTTACAAGCTGTATTCCGATCATAGTTAGTAATAAAATATTAAACACAGATTTTGTTTAGTTTTGGCCAGAACTCACGTCCTATCGAGTCTCAAGAAACTAGAAAATAAATATTAGTCATTTCTGTTTTCAATTTACATTGTGAAGCTAGTATCGTGAAGTAAAACTATGTCAATTCGTAATATAAATTAGATTATCCTAATGAAGTCGTTTCTTGAGCTGCAAGAGAGAGGGCAATAGAAACCATGCTTGGTCTTACACCATAATATCTGGATCTTGCTTCATCAAACTATGTTTTTGACTTCATGAGCGCCTTAATGTTTGCTATGAGTATTTTTTCCTCTTACGAAAAAAATATTTACATACATATACTCCGAATCAATCAGGTTTTTTCAGAGCTTAGTAACCCAATCTTACCTTATCTGCGTAGTCAAGGATAAAAGACAAAAAGTCGCGACAACTGTAATTCCTACTATGGTATGTGGAAGTCTTACAATAAACCGATATACTATTGGATTCTTTTTAATGAATGATAATGGAATGGAGTACCTATCCGTCTGCGCTAATGCTTAACGATGGCGGGACACCAGTGAAGGATTATAAGATATTATGACCGTTTCCAGTGGGAAACGCGTAAAGGTCAACCAGAAATGGCACATTGATCTGCCCTTCCCCCACTATTAGAATTTGTATAGGCTCCAAAAAATATTAGTCAAAACTCCATTTTCGGCTTTCCGGTAATACTGACCCCAGTAACGATTGTGAAAAAACTGGTAAAAGGATTGTCAACACAAATAGAATATACTCGTTGTTAAAATATTTATTTAAATATATTTTATTATTGCGCTCCTATAATTTTGTATCCTGAATAAAAGTCGATCTAATGTAATGCTGAATGAATGTCATTTTTATCTTTAAATTACCTATTACCTACATTTTATTCATAATAGTAGCTAATTCCATGGTTCTACTTTGCGAAACTCTTTATGGTATCAAAGAATATCAACAAACTCCTTCTTAGCAAACAACAATACGTATATTAATTAAGAAAATATCTATATTCAAATGTAGTAGTGACTTTGGTTAAACTTCGAATACGAGTCAGTATATATCTCAACATCTTTTAACTTGAAAGTTATCTATCTATAAATATGTACATTTAGACTGAAAAGAAAGAAACCGAAACATAATTATCAACACCCACACTTGGTAATGGTCAGCAATATAACAAAACGCTATAACAACAATCAATCCACAAAACGAACAATTACAAATAATAAATGACTTATTAAATCCTTTGCAACGTTTTGTCAAACTAACAGGCTATTATTATGTAGATACAGGAAAAAATGGCACACAGAAACCTTGATGGGAATATAATGGTTGGTATTTTTTACACTGAGAATTCGGTTTGGTATTCCATCGGCCTGTTATTAAATCATAACAGGTCGAGTACAACAATTAGTGTAGTATTCTCACGGCAATGGACAGGCGACTTAGTTAATTACAGCTCTTTGATTTGAGGAAGATTTTTTGGGTCGCCCGAGGTCAAGTGTGGTCGTAGCTTTTATTACGTCGCCATCACTTTGCACTGGATATTGTGACATCCAATTTATTCGAAACAATTAGGTACCTGCAATTTCATTTGCGTAAAATTTACCAAATTTTTTTCTAAAATATAAATAGCCTAAGTTAAGTACTCCTTATAAAATTTGCAAGCTGCGAGTGACAACCCCGTCAAAATAGGCATAGATGTTTCAGATATTAGGAATAACAAACGGGCAGATAGACTGTAAATTTTTTTTTAACAAATAAATTATTATATACTAAAAACTTTGAACTACATTTTGTGAAAAGCTGTTAATTTTAAATTACAAACAGAGACATGTCTCGGATTCACACGGGTAGATATGAACGTTATAAATGTACAAAAATACAAATTCCTCATTATAATATTAATGTAGATATATATTAAACTTATTAGTACAAAAGATGTCGCTTGAACGGTATACTTACGCTGGAAGAGGATCAATGGAGGATGATAGAATGACCATAAAGTCAAACCAGTTAACGCATTGTGACGTATTGCACCATGAATTAAAAAAGATTTATCGACGACTAGTAGATCCAGCCACAAGTTTATAAAAAATATATGCGAGACCTAAGTTGAGATGAAGAATATTAAATTAATTTTATCTCACATTTATAATTTTCATACTCTTTCTACTTTTTTTTAAATTTAATTTGGATGTTAATATGCTGACGTTTAACCTGGTGGTAAACAGTAAATGTCGCCATCAAACATGAACTGAACTACAGACATTACGTTATCAAATGACACCAATGACACCACTCATGGAATACCATTCCCAAGTACTGAGATGTCAAGTCTCTTATCTTGTAATTTCACTACCCAATCTGATCTAACAAACGAAACACAATATACGTACCTTATATAAATAAATAAATGGTACAGAATAATTCTTCATTCATTTATTTATTTTTATAGAAGATTCCTTTGTTGATATGGTTCAGGTAACTGCTGGCGACACTTTTTATTAATCATAGTTTTTACTTACCAATTCCTCTATTTCACCGTAAAGTAGGCATAAATGCCAGTATATGGTCATAAATAATGACAGTTTAGTATTTAATATTTGTATCTATTAGGTAAATCCTTAAATATCAGGTATGTAGATAAGTTCCACTTCACATGATTGCAATAAATTAGGACTAGTAGTGGGATTATATAGTAATAATTAATTTCAATATGTAAAATTGAATGTATAAAGAAGTTATTGTAGTGCATTTTTTTCCATAACTCATTTTATTATTTTTTTTATTAAAAATTATTTCTTATATTTTTAACACAAATGACTAATTCCGATCTTATATAAATATATCAATATTATAGTATGTATATTTAATAATTTTATTATAATGATTTTATTTTTTAATCAATCAGAATTTATTACCAACGTGGCGATAATCCCTTTATATGACTTGATTATTACCAATATTTGACCATAAATCCAAATTATCTATCAGCTTCTGCTGTTATTTGTATATTTCAAACTAGTTCCTTAATTATTCATGACTTTATATTGATTTCTAAAGTCGTGTATATAATATGCAAATATGCGCTATTGATATGACATTATGTTTGATTTTATCTCTATATTTCCTATTAAATATTAAATTGATAAGAAACTCAATAAATCTTATTCTGCAGAGTAGTAAGTAAGTTTAATATATTTTTTAATATTGTGTCTATTATAATTTTGTATCAGCTTCGGTGGTCTAGCGTCAACCGCCTTAATTGAGATGGTCGCGGGTTCGATCGCACCGTATACATAAATATTTGTATTCATGACTATGTTTGTTTGCATTTTACGATTGCATTTCTATGAATGTTATGTATAGCTATATTAATTTATTTTAATAATATAATAAGATTTTCTAACAATTGTTTAGTATTCATAACACAAGCTCTGCTAGCTTGGTACTAGACAGTGTTGTGTAAACTGTCCAGAATTCTATTATTATATGTATTTGTGAAAAAATCGATACTATAAATTTCAATTAATAAATTTTAGGCAGGCTCAATTTGTTTCCTCTTTCATTATTGCTTTGTTCGAATGAGGCGGCTAATAAAATATGCCAGTGTATACAAGTATCCTATATTCAAAATGAACACGACACGCGACTTACCGAACACGTAGGAAATAAAAACAAACGTGCATTTTTCCTCAATGAGTTTATTGCGCCAGAACAATAAATGAAGCTGATCATTATTAACGTTTACTTTCAACATCGATTACGAATACTCTACACGATATCATATCGTAGATAGTCCATTAATATTTATAATATCCGAGTCCGTATTGCACTTCGCGTCACAAACTTCAACTCAATACCCAAGCGGTACCATCTATCCCTATTAACTTAAAGTTCGTGGGATCAATAATTACGATATATTTGTCTAAATATCACAAGAAAATACCAAACGAAATACCAAATAGAATTAACACAATTAAAATTATTAACAATTAAATAATATAGAGTCTGTCGCTCGCCGTTGGCTATGGAGTGAGGTATCACCAGGACGGGCGGGGCTCGTGGCGGCTGCGTCATGACACCGGCACGTGGTGCTGGTACAGCTGTTCTTGACGTTCACACAACGAGGTCATTTTCTTAAATGATTCAGAGGTCTCCCGAAAAAGCAGCTTAGCGTCATCGCGAGTGCGTGCGTGAGCGGCGTCCAGTCTGCCCGGTGAAATCACGGGGGGCGATGATGCTGAAAGTGGTGACAGAGACTCTCGAGCTGACTGAGCCCCTGCCGGTGCCCCATAAGGACCCCCACCAGCCTGCGAAACGCCGTTACCCATCAGAAAAGGAGTCGGAAAAAACCCCCGCTCACCGAATTGTGGAAACAAACCAGCTTGTAATGCACTTAAGTTTCTGCTGTAGAACTTCATCGTCTCTGTTACGTAATTGGGCAACTGAGATGCATCTTCATTGCCGCCGTATCTTAAACTTTCAAGAGTTGACGCTAAACCTTTTATATCTGCATACAATTTATTTAAAAGTTCTGTGTTGACTTCTAGGGCAGGTCTTTGTTCACGTCCATCAAAAGTGCCAGTTGATAACAGTCGTCTATGCAAATCAACATTCGAGCTGTGTCTGTCTCGACTCCGACGAGAAGGGAAGGCAGCATCACAACCATTTACATCGCAAGGATGAAGTAATTTTAGGTGGTCATTTCTATAATGCATTCGTAATGTGAAATGGTTTTGAAATACCTTCCCACAAGCGGTGCACCGATCTGGATTTTCGTCGTCTATAGGAATTTCGAGATCGTTTATATCGGTTCTGTCGTCAGTCCTATCACTGCTCGCAGAGGGTGAACGAACTCTTGCTAAGCGCTCTTCCATTGTATGCAGGTCACTCCCACTGTCACTCGGAGTGTATAAATCTGAACGCAACCTTAACCCTTCACGGACAACGCTAGGAGCACTGGATTCATCATCAGATTCACTCTCAGCCTTCACTCGTGTCACTTGTTCCGTATCCACAATAGCTTCTTCTCCATTCTGAAATGTCTCCCATTTCTCTGGTTTTTGTTTTTTAAGCGATAAGGGTTCATCATCAGCACGGCTCGAGCTTGGAGTTGACAGGTTTCTAAATAAATCGCCTTGATATTCTTCATCAGAAACACTGTACTCATTGTTTTGAGAACATCTGGTTGGATTCCCGCTTTTCCTCTTGCGTTTATTGGGTACAAATGATGATAATTTTTCCTCAGTAACGGTGGGATCAACACGACTTTCAACTTCAGGCTGGGTATCAACAACTTTATTTTTATTTACACTTAAATCTTCAGGTTCATCATTATAATTTAATCTTTCCATTACAGGAGACTGCGATTGAACCTCGCTTTTGTCTTTTTCATCGTCATCAGAAATATCGTCATTAATTTCACTATAATTATTTGATTCATCTTCAATTGTAACATGAGACTTAACGAGGTCTAATGCACCGCGTAACGGTTCCTCTGATGGGGGGATTTTTCTGTACATTTTTTCAATTTCACTGAAGTTGCGAAGATCATCGAGAGGCACTCGCGGAGGAAGCGGGGTGGGTCCATTAGCTGCTGATAACGGCGGTGGTAATCGTGCTGCTAACTCTGGAGGCAACAGGGTGGGTGGAGGCAGTGGTAATCGCGCCAACGCCGGCAGAAGCGGGAATGGCTGCGCAGATCTGCCATCGTGCGCAGATATCTTACGTCTCACGTGTGGCGAGTGTAGCTTCGGGTTAGGATTAGCACTGTGTCGATTTCTTGAACGTCGTGAGCTAAACATCATGGTACAACCTTCTACCGTACACTTGTGCATCTCACGCAGGTGTACCGCCGAAAAGTGTATTTTTAAAGCACCTTTGTCGCAAAAAGTCTTAAGACAAACATTGCATTGCACTCTCTTCTTTCCTGTCGCAGGATTGACGAACTGAACACCGAGACCGAGCGGCCACGGTGCAGGTGGCGGGTCACGTCGTTCAGCCGGATAGTCGGGAGACCGTCGCTCGTCGCTCCTGTCATCGTCACGGCTACTAAAACTGGCGCCAAGTTTTCGAAAGTCGAAATGCGGCGCGGGCTGGCTCACACGGGGCATCATGAAATAGTCCAAGCCGGCCGGTAAGCCGGGAACCGCACCGAACTCTTTGCCTTCCATCACGTCACTGTCATAATATACGCGGTTGCTACGAAGCGGGTGGCGCGCGACGCGGCCGCTTTGCGACTGACGACGTGCGACACAGGTGACCGCGCGCGGGCGGCGCGCGACAAAGGCGAGCGGTGCGGGGGTGTGCGGGCGGCGGGTGGAGGGGCCGGAGGTGGGAGGAGCGAGCGCTGGGCGGAGCGGATCGATGCGCAGTGGGGACACGCGACACTCGCTCGTACCGACACTGACACCGACATCGACACCGACACCGACCGACCAGCGGCCAGCGACCGCGGTAAACACAACAGGCCAAGCTAAGCATGAAGATAGCATGGCGTTACATAACATATCTATATACTAAGTATATGCACATCGCTTATTACTATTTAGACATTTGAAGCATAATGTCATTTAGTTACGTATAATAAATACCTATACCTAACTAAAAGACATGCTCTAAATGTCAACTCAAGTAGTCACAGTAACGTTAAGCTCTAGTAATTTAGGTGCTTAGCTAAACACTTTACAATAACACCGCTGCGTTTTATTACTTAACCTAATGAAAACTGATAGGTATTATTAAGTATCTACATTAGATATTTATCAGAATGCAAATAGGTACATTAAGCAGACATGTTAAGGTAATTTAAAAAAGGGGTTATGATTTATGTATTTGTGTGTAATGTTGAGTAGAAATGTAAAAAGTGGTATTATATACAAATACCTCTAAGTAGATAAGTCTGATTTAAACTTATAATTTCATTAGATAAACGAGAATACTTTGGCTGATTTACTTAAGTAATTCTTATGATATCTTTTAGAATTTAAACATAGAATAATTTATTTATTTCAGTAACAGCAATACTACTTGGATAAAATAAGTATATACTTCCACAACACAACAAATTAATTTAAAGTAAATAAATACTCGTGTGTCTTGAACTGTCATGGTTTTTAGATTGCCATATCTATGCTTAGATTATTTGCCAATATCGAAAATTATAAATAATATTACCTAAAGCACAGATAATATTATTATATTAACATAATATACTGTACTAATAAATATATAAAAATAGATAAACAAGATGTTAGGTATCTATTGAATTGCTACTCCTGCGCAAATGAATTTCATTAAATACCTAAATACAAACAGCCATTAAATACAACGGTCACAGGATTTGATAAATAAAATACATGAAAACACTAAAAATACTAAATTGCTAACTATAACCTTACATTACTTTCCCGCCAAAATGTACAGACACATGAAATGTAAACTTGCACTGGTGTAGCGCTATTCACGGCGGCATGAAACTACTAACGCCATCTGTGATCAGGTTCTCGTACTATACAAGGCACACCTCAAATTTTACTCTGATTATTGTGTTGTATCAATTTCGCTCTATACTGAATTTAAAAAATTGGTTATTAATATTGTATTAATTGGTTACTAATATTGTAAATTTAATGGTGTGTCTGTCTCTTTATTTGTTATATTTTCACAACTAAACGTATTAAGTGATGTTAATTAATTTGGTAGGATAATAGTCTTTATGAAGTGGACGAACTAAGGCTCTCAAAAGAACCAGACAAGGTCGCAGGTAACTTGTAGTATTATATAAAGGTCGAAAAGTTAGTATTTAAACTGTATTTTCTTTTATCGAAAAACTGCAGAGGTATCAAATACCTACCTACAGTAAAAAGAGCCTTGTTATTTTAGAAAGTGTGTTTACCTAACGGATTACAGTCTCATCGTGAAATCATGTTTTTATTATTACTGATGAATTTTGTATTATTAGAAAATTTCAGTATTTCAGTGCTTGTAAGCACTAACAATTATTATCTACCTGAGTTATATTCATAAGATATAACAATTAAATTACTACTCGTACCAGTCTTATCCTTATCGTTATACGTATAAGTACCAAAATGTGTCTGTTTGTGGCACAGCTGAGTGGATCTTATTAAAATTTTACGTAAAAAAATAATATTACAGGAATTGTCCTGTGATATTGAACTCAGTATCGGCTAGTTCTAAACTAAACAGACCTTGTGTTATGGGTGTAAGATAACAATATAAATGCTTATTTTTTTTATAAATTAAGCAAACACCCACATGGAAACAAACAGTTGTACTCATGAATACAAAAGTTTTTGCCGTGCGAGAATCGAACCCGCGACCATCAGAAGTAAGTTTAACCGAGACCATTTAAGATAAGTAGTTTCCATAGTTTGTTTTACGAGAACGAATTGTATTTTTTCTCAAAAAAGCAGACGAAATCGCGAGTATGTATTGTGTATTTCTTGAAACAGCTCGATAAAGATAATTGATACATGGGAGAATAACAGCTCGATTCCGCGTAACATAATTTCACATCAACACATCCGTAACACTTGTACGAAAGTAAACTTATTGAAACGACGGGCAAACTTAAGAAAACTATTAAAAACGTATGAAACACCACAAGAAACCGCCCACTATAAATGAAAATACGCTTACAAAGAGATACTTACGTCGGTTTAGCTTCTTACTGTAGAGTTAAACTAACACTTAGGTTACCTCATCAAACAATCGACTTTATGGAGAACTATTAAAATTATTGAACCTACAATGAGATTCACTGGTAGTTTTTTATGTCTGCATTAAAAATAGACGTATTCCTAATCTTTTGTCCTCTCTTTTATCACTAAGCTCTGTATTTATAAACATCACAAGAGCATCTCTCTTCTCTTCTTTATTGTTAACTAGCTTCCCACCCAAGCTTCGCATGGGTGTACATGTATTACACATATAAACCTCTTACATCACTCTATCTATTGCGAAAAACTGCATTAAATTCCGTTACGTAGTTTTAAATATCTAAGCGAAGACAGCAGAAACGACTTTATATTATACTATACATATATCTGAAGATAAAGATAATATGCATAATGAAATGAATTTCATATGCCCTATAGTTGACTGAGAGAAAATGTCTAAGGTGTTAAGTTCTGTGCACCTTTATCTATTTGTGCATTGACGTTTTAATAAATTTTAAATTATTATCCATATATTCCTACATACAGACAAAAAACTGTAAATATGACAGAATGACAGGGTTAAAAAACATCAATAAGTATATACCTTCGTGACTGTTATTTAGGTTTAGTTTACTTTTGCCAAGTACCTATTTATCGTGTACCATTAGTGTAGGCGGAACTACCATTTTCTTATCTACAGCAAAAAACACACTCTAGGAACTTTCCAGTTCATCTATACACGTCCCGCTGATTCAGACTTCTTAATAATTATTTAATTCACAAACACCATGCTCGTAAGGCGCAATCAGTAAATACACGATAGCTTTAATCTGACACACGGCTCGCAAACGGTTTAGTCTCAATCGATGTCTGTCAAATCGATGTTTTTCACTCTGTTTGATGTCGTATCGCACCTAATAAACGTTCTCGATTCTCGATTATTCTTGATGTCGGAACGGTTACAATCACTGGACTCTCGCGTTCGGGCTACACTATAAACAGGCTTTTATTGTATGGTGTAATGTGATTTTAATTTATTCGCGCCTATAATCCCTTTGAAGCGTTATGTTGAATATCACTCGTGATTACGCTGGTTTTGTTTTAATAACAATAATATTAGTGTATCGATTTATGTGGTGTGAGATTCGAGTTAAATTATGTTATTGTGGTATACACAGGCACTATAGCCTATTACTAGAATAGATTAATAATTTTATCACATATGAATTTAATAAAAATACAATTATAACTATCAAAATATATTTCACCATTTTTAATACACCTATATATACATACCAATACAACCAAGGAGTAGGATTTTTATACCTTGATTAGTGGCCCTATTGTTAATAATATACCATGGCAAGCTATTCTGGCAAGCATCGTGGTAAAATTGTACTGATATTCACCACGATGGGGTAACTGACCTGACGCCATGCGTATCATATCATCCTCCACTGATAACCCGTATACCAGCGTATACCATTAGAACAAGCAGGTGCACATATCATCTTTATCTATTAAAAATATGCTCTACGAATTCAAGGTTAACGCTTTATATTTTTAAAGATATATATATATATATTATATATATAATCTATATTCTATTTTTTCAAAACCGAAAGGATGTTTTCTTTTCATACATTTTCATTTTCCTAGTTACTTATTAGTGAAGCTAACTGAACAATAGTGACCGTCGTGTATATAAATAAACACTACCTTAGTCACCACAAACTTATTTTCTAACGCCCTTTGAATAGTTCAAGCATTGCCATTTCAGGGGACTAAATATCAAGTCTCCGTACCACTGTCGTATCTCATACACCAGAAAAGAACAAAGCAATGTTACTTGGCGATAAAAAGAGATGTAGACTGTTTTAAACTATGTTCTTTCTTGATGGTCTTCTTAATCTTCATCGATATTTTATTTTTTATAAAAGTGAAAGATTTTTATTTGTTTTTTATATTGTACAGGTAAGTACAAATCGCCAATCGCTGCTAATTTGGACGGACATACAGTCACCGCCACTGAGGTAGATACTGAGAGTTTCGCGGTGCGTAAAGTAAACACGCTCTCTTTTTGTCCTAAGTGATCCGGCTCTGGTCAACGTCGATTTTTATATTGAGTTAAGGTACTTTTACACTAAACTTAACGTACAAATATTGCATATATCATAATGAATTTTAAACTACGTGTGTATATCTTATAAATATACATTTATAATGAATTTGTAACTGCATGCGTATATCATTACATAGTACAAAACATAGTCGCTGTCGCTGTCTGTCCGTCACTATGTATGCTTAAATCTTTAAAACTACGCAACGGATTTTGATTCGGTTTTTTTAATAGATAGAGTGATTCAAGAGCAAGTTTTATATATATAATACATGTACACCCGTGCGAAGCCGGGGAGAGTAGCTTGTCTATATACAAAATGAAGACATAGAAATCTTTTTGCAACATAGTTTTAATTAATCCAATACGTAACACTATCACTTCTTCTATTTCTAACCTGAACCTTGGTTTTTCAGAGATAAAAAAATATATGATATACATATAAAAAATCTGTATGTG